AATATCATTGTTAGAATTATAACAGAACTAATGGTTTGAAACTGGAGAGACTCGGCGTTTCAGTATTTACGTTCTGGCACACGTATTTGTTTATAGAATGAAAGACAAAGCCATCTGTATATAACTCATCGGTTATAAATAGCATTGCAAGACGCATTGAATCACTACATTACATTTAGTGATTGCTACATCATAAATGCTCCAGAACATTACTCATCTAACCTCAAGTACAACTTTATTTGTTCACCAGAATTCTTCTTTATATCACATCCAAACAAACAAGGGACGAAATAGGACTTCCAAGGTTCTTATATTGTTTGGTTTCTTGCTGAAGATAAGGACTTTCGTCACGGAGTACGAAGAAATACTAATTACTGTGATCCACTGTAATATATAGTTGATAGAGTAAATATAGCTTCCTCACGACTTGTCATTAGCCTGTGAAACGAAGTTACATTTCGCAAAATGCTTTAGATGTAAAATTGACAGACATATTGATTTGTTGGGCAAGATAGGCCAACGTTTAACTTCATTTGTTTTAAAAATATATACTTTTCAGTGTGTCCAACGTAGACAGAAATCGTTGTCAACACACATCCTTCATTGTAATAATTAATAGTGCAAACTCCACGAAAATTTGTGTAGTAAAATAAACCATAAAAGGTTTAATGCAAGATGAACAAGTCGAAGCATTTATCACAATTATGAGGTTCTTTATTTTTACATCATTTACAAGCAATGTTGATAAAAGGGATTATTTAATGTTAATACATTTTATATATTCAGAATTTTATTTAAGTTGTTGTGGTTTAGTAAAATAATCATATAATTTATCTGCAGTCCTTTTGCATATTTGAAAACAACTAATTTTACTGCTGGAACATATTCACCTACTAATCATCCTTGAAAGTATTCATTATTGACAATAAACCTTCTTGTAAAAATTAAATTGAGGATTCTTTTTTTAGAAATACTAGGATTTACAAGAACAAAAACGAGTTGCATGGATTTTGGTATGAAACAAACATTTCCTTTCAGCATTAAAAAGCCCTAGGATGAAGTGGTATGCGAAAGACTTTTGTGCTTCGTGGTCTCCAGGCGAGAAGGATGTAGTAAAGTTCATGACATTGTTGCGGGAAGGGTCGGGGGAAGCATGGATATTTCATTTAGAGATATTTATTGAATTATAAATCCCTACATGAATCTATTCATTTAACGTAAGAAGTTTTAAAAACTGTATGCTACATATAAATTGAACCTGATCAATTTGTATTTAAACAAAAAATAAACAAATTTTATAAGTTATTTAAATTAATATTAAAAGCAGAATCTAGGAGGATAAGAGGGTAAAAAAAGAAAACCTGGTTTGAAGGCTCTTGATCTTACAGTTTTCGAGATATACGTGACGGTGTAGCAGTAGCGTTATGTTTTTTGCGAGTTGTATGTACGGGAGGTTATTTAAATGTGCCATCATGGAGCTATGAACACTTGGAGGTGGCCTTATATCCGCGCAATTTTTCTTGATCGATGGACTGAAGAAATGTGGATAGAGTGGGGATTACAAATTAAATGGCGATAGAGTGGTTAGTTACAAAGTTGGCCACTAGACAATTTTTTTAAGTATTACCAATCTCTGGGAAATCGAAGTCAATCGTGTGGTCATCGTGACCACTGGTGTGGCCATGATAAGTGTGGCCATTACAGCTCAATTAAACTTTGTTTTCATACATCTTTTATAGAGCTGTTCTATCTTCAGATTCGTATTTAATATTGCCTTTCACATTTTGTACACAATCAAAGGTTACATCAAAACCTTATTCTCTTTTTCCCGTCCACGTGCATTCACAACTTCCTCTATAATTTTGTGTTCACCGCTACAATACGTTCTCTTGAGTTTGAGGTGCCTCTTTAAAGGACCTGTACCTTACTCAGCCACTTATTGAGGTATTATCGAGAAAAAAATACGAAGAGAAGTTCTAATTTTTTAAACCACCTAGCTTCTGTTTCGCGCCAACGTAGTTTCTAGTTTGGAATGTTGCCATCTGTGCTTTCTGAGAGCTTTTGCCTTCAACTGTTTATTGCTCAGCGGAGAGGCAATGTAGGCATCACGCTTTTATTACCAACCTCTTGCCATGTTCCGCCAGAGAAGCCTCTCCGCCATATTGGTGTGCCCCAAAACACGTCAGTCGAACCAATACCTTCTCCGTCGAGTTGATCAAACACGACAATAAGTGGGTAGTACCCATTTTCAACATATTTTAATGATCTTCGGAATATTGAAGAGTATTATAATTAAAACGGAGAATATTTTTTACAAATTGTGTGCTATAAAGTATTTTGAGGGCGTAAAAACCAAAATAACTTCAAATTTAAAACGTCAGGATTACATTACTAAATTCTTCTCTCTTTGAGAATTCTCACATGATCTGTCACAAAGAATTTGCAAATAAAAGATTGACACTGCTAACATTCTGGAGGCGGTTGTAATGACTGGCTACCATACCAACTATAAGATATAAAAAATATTGTCTTACTGTACTGTTTCTTTTTTATTTCCCCATTTCCTTACATAAACATGAAGTACCCTATTTGAATTCAAAAGAGCAGGATCCTAAAGGTTGATATTTGTAGATGAACCAATAATACAATTGATGTCAGCATCATGCAAAACTTTTGGGTTTCTGTGGAGAAGTCGTGAAAATTCATATGTTATCGTTTTAAAGACATCTTCAGTGAATAATTATTCCATCACAATATACTTAACTTATGTATGGTAGAAAAGCTGCTAAAATTGTTGTAAGTGGGTGTTTTCACAAACTTACCTATCATAAAGATAATCGGTCAAAATCGTCTTCTTAAAAATGAACCGACCATAACTTTCTGTATGTACTATGCTTCCAGTTATCTTTTCGCATTACCATAATCCACTGTACTCCTTTCTTTGATATAAATAGGAAAATCACGAAAATTAATATCTTGAAATTTTACTATGTTCTCCAAACCATATAAAGTACATGTAGGAGAACTAATTCACGCCTTCCCCGAACTTTTTTTACACCAATATGCCATGCAAGTAACCAAGATGAACTGATACGAAAGCTTCATAATCGGATCAAGGCTTTTAAATATTAAAAACTATGACAAATAACACATAGCCAGACTTATTTTTTATAATAATATGTAGCGTGTTGTAATATCGCATGGGTTTTGTGTAATTGGTTTCTCGTACACTTTGAAACAAGTTTTCTCCGAGTATTATGTGTAGAGGAGACTGATGAAAAACGTTTTTTTCGAAGGGTTCTTAGCCCCAATACATAACGAAACATGTGATGTGTACAATTTAAATTCCTAACGTATTTTAGCTTCATATTTTAACAGTTAAAAGTGTTTTCCAACGAAATATTTATGAAATGTTTTCGATTTCGGTGATATATTATTATACTAAAGGTTTTTGGGAGTTGTTATTTTTATTTCTTTGTAATGAGTGGTACTGTAATGAGTTCGTAATGAACACGGCAAAACGTAAAGTTTTAGAAGTGTACTAAAACTTTGGGTCCATGCCTTTATTATTATTTTTATTAATTTTGGTACCTTTTGTACTAATTTTTCATGCATGTTTGTTGGTTTTATTGGTGTGAGACCAAATATTTTTAAATTTATGCACCATGTCTTGCTTGTTTTCAGTTACCTTTTTTGTTTGATTTTCTTCAAACTATTGTAAATAAATTCTTAGTCGAATTTTGTTTCAACTATTTTCAAACCAGAGTAACAAATTTACCAGTTTTTGTCACAAATCAAACGAGATTCTCTTGGCTTTGACATGAGGCTCTGTTAGCCATGAAGATTCCATTAGAGAAAATTATGATATTTAACCAAACATATAAAAAAATGCACCCCAAACAAATAATTCTGTTCTTAACTGCAGTGAATTCTGCAATTCTAGTTATTAATAGCAGTTTATCCGAAGTTACTATTTTGCCAACACACTGCACATAACCGATCCGTTTAAGATTGTTAAGTTCGGTAATTACTCAGCCGTGGGGCGTTCAATATGTCATGATATCTTCTTCTTATAAGAAAACAAAGTGATTTGTTTGAAATACCTGCTTAAATGGATCCAGAAAAAGAAAAATATACTAGAGACCTGCAACAGCAAAACTGCTTCTGTCGAATGTGAGGAAAATGGGCCACAGGAGCAGCAAATTCCTGCTTCTGAGAATGTGGAATTTAGCATCAGGAATGTTTTCAAGTTAGCGTGCAAATCTATGAATACTTTTACGGAAATTACTAGAAAAAGAGAGACATTCTGAAGACCCGTAACTTGCAATCTATAAACATGCCTATGGATGGTCTACCCAAGTTAACCGTAGTAAATATCTTCTAAAAGGTTTGATGTATCGAGTAGGTTTGCGCTAAGTTATTGTAAATGATGGAGAAATTACGTATTTCATTTTGTTCTTTGACCTACGCGTCCTTGATTTTATTAGAAGCCAACTTTCTAAAGTTGACGACTAGATGAATGCAATGACGTAAGTATTATTAATATTCGAAAAGAAACTGGAAACAAGTCTTACAATTGCTTACGTAGAAAAACGGATTTAAATAGTCAAATAGAATTTGCATTTCAAAATCAATTGATCAATGAAAATCGAAACTGTCATTATTTTTCCAATTTTCTTGGATATCTAACGAAACCAACACATCTCACATGGCCAGCCGCTACTTACTGCGCCATCAATTCATGCTTATATTTGAAATTAAAAATATAAATTGCTTCTATCATAGTACACGATTTTTTTTGTGTTGAGAGCTATCCTTAGAAGAGGCTATTGTGAAAATATTGTGAAAGAAACTTTTAAATTCGGTTCAACAATAAAACTTTGTTTCAACTTTTAAGTATTTAAATTCATCTAAAACTGAAGAGACGGTTTGTAGTTATGAGTAAAATATCATTGTTGACTGTTGAAATGAAAGAAATACTTCTTATTAAATTACAGGAAATTTATTAACACAAAGCTGATAACATTCTCTCTCTCACTTTACATCTCTCTTGCCTTCTTAATCGCGTTTTCTTAACTGTGGTCTACTTATATTTTCTATAAAAATATGATGTTACAAGTGTGGACATATCCTGTATAGTAAATAAAACCTTACTGTTAGAAATCTGTTGCCTCTTGGCAGACACGCAGTTTTGGTCAGCAGTTGGTATACTATTGTAAAGAATGTTTGTGTCGAGGAGTAAATAGGCGCAGTTCTTAGAATTTTTATCTGATTTGCCTTTTTCTTACAATTCTGTTTTTATTTCTCGTCTATCATTCTCCAAGTAATTGCAAGTGTACAATAAATATATCGTATAAGAGTAAATATGTAACATTAGAAAAGTATTGCGGTAGCTGATTATTGCCTTTGGTTCTGATGGATCTTAACAAAGCCATATTTGACCAAATGTGATATGTACAATTTTTGCTCTAATTGGTTTACCATTCAATACTGTTCCACGCTCTTCCTAAGTGTGTTACATTTTGATTCCTGCAGAACACCGTGCATTTCTTTCGCCGTGTCGACTTTTAGAAAAATAGGAGATGATAATGTCTCACGGCATTAGTGGTCACGAAAACGCACTCGCATGGAAGCGGGTTCACTGACAACAGATGTGAATTTGTAAAGGAATAAATTGTAAGGTACAAGGTCAGGATACTTCTTTAGGTTGATATTAAAAAATGTTGTTCCTGTGAAACCTACTCATAAAATTGTTCCATGTCCGAGAAATGGCTTCGTCTTTGTCTGAGTTTGATACTATGTTAATAGCTGTCAAATCGTAGATAACGCTCGTAGTAAAAGCTGATTGCACACTGTGGGGCTTATTGCGTGCCTGTATAATGAGGCTCAAAATTATGTTTCCTCCATTATGTACTGAGCAGCACTAGATGTTCTTGAAGATAACAGAACTCCAGGCGGTCAACAACAGGTGTTTTAATGCATGGACGTAGCTTCGAAACTATGTCTGGAAATTAAACAGAAATATCTTGAAGTTCAATAAAAGTAAATATGTAAACTGATAGATATTTGTAAGCAATAAAGATTAAGTAAAAAGGTTTTTTTAAACTAAAAAACGTGAAAAAGTTTTCATTAATACAACTAACACATATGACACTAATGAAGAAATGAAGCAAAATATTGTAATGGAAGAAACTAAGTAAAAGCATATCAGATAATAATGACATTGTAAAATAATTCTCAATGTTTTACGTAAAATGCAATTTAATGAAAATTTTAGGCTAAAATTAGACATCATCCTTACATACAGACCTTTAGGGGTGCTTTTAAGAATCTCTCGTAAGTCTCAATTAAATGAAACTCATCTTGGAGAAATATCGGAAATGCAGGGATGTGAGCGATGTAGGTCATGAGACCCAGGCACCTGAAAAAGTAATATTGTAAAAATATAGAAATTAATCAATTTTAACATTTTTCTCACATCATGCCTGCTCTCTCTCGCTCTCTCTCGCT